GATTGTTACGTAGGGATAAATACTTAACGGCATGTAAAGCCATGAGAGATCTACACGTGCATTAGTCGAGAAGTGCTATTTAATATTTAACGAATATATCGAAAACATTTGATAATAAAAATATCCAATGTTATTATATTTTACGGATATGAGATTACTGTATCAATATTAGTATCATATTACAATGCATATCATAGACTAAATAATATACATTGAAAAAACAAGAATCAATTGTAGATTTAACTTAAGCTGTGTGTGTCAATTATATTTATTTTAGCTAACACAATGTGTGTGGTTTACATCTCTACCTTTTTTAAATAATCCATTAGTAATACTGATTTATGGTATTAAAAAAAATATATCTATATATATATATTTCTGAATGATATAAAAAAATAAAAAAGTGAATACAATTGACGAGAATGCATCTGAACGCAGTTTTATAGGGCGCACGGGGCTATTTATTTTTCCTCCTTTTGTTCATTACAAACTTACACGATATGTAAAACAAAATATGTGAGCATGCAGAAGCGGGATATGAAACTGGTGCGATTCCCGACTGATTTAATTTAACGACGCTGCAGTCACGAAAGTATGTATCTCACGTTACAATCGTTGTGATTCGAACGTGGAGACTATTTTCGCGTGTCTGGAGCATCGAGTTCTGTACGCAGCGGGATCACGCCGGTCTTGATCCTTGTGCAAAAACATCTCAAACAGGCGGCTGATCTACGGTCGATCGACGAGGAGAAAATCAAGACGCGTGAGGCACACAGGCGACAAATTCTAAGGTATAGTGTATATTTATTATATTATCATTTTTATCATATAGCGTAACATCGTTATTTCTATAATAATAATAATAATAATCATAGCACCATGAACACTCCACAGTAAGTTTTTTCTTTTTTTTTTTTCTTTTAATTCGTTATCCGAAAAGAACGTGACGCGCCGATGCGCTGCGACGGGTGAGAACTGCGATCGTGTAATCGTAAGGACTTCGAACAGCACTAAAATATCAGAGAACATCCGAGTGACGTCCGGTGGTGCAATCACAGCATCCTCGGAACGTTCCTTGGACATCTCTCCGAGATCTTTGTCGGTCTTGCGCTGTCCAGAAACGCGAAGTCTCGCATTAATCTCTCGTTGCGCAACGAGATTTTCGACAGGATAATCTTCTCTTTTATCTTCTTACGCCAGGAACATTATTTCTGACTAGAGCTTCTCGTAGAATATCTGAGAAAATTTCACGGTGGAGGAAAGGCGCATCTTTTGATTTTTGTCGATTCGTGCCGTCTGTCCGGCTCGTGGAATAAGAAGCGATCGAGGGAAAAAAGCGCGAGCGAATCGAGAAACATCGAGAGCAGAAGATTGCCATTTTCCTCCATTACCCGGAACGACCGACAATTTTTTTCATCTAATTAATAATATTATTATTAATTGTTTTCTTTGGAGGAAATCATTGATATCACCGTTCTCGCACCCGTCGGGCACCGCGATTTTGGGGGTTCGTAGAAGTGTTGAGGCTCTCGTTTTTCTACATTTCGCTCTCTCTCTCTCTCTCTCTCCTGTTTTCTCTCTCTCTTTCTCACGCTCTCTTTTATACTTCCTTTCTTACGTACTTTGTTCATATATTATATAGATATCTATATATATAATATATATTTTTTTCTTCCCTCATATTTCCCGCTAATCTGTTTCAGTGAAAGCTCGTTCCTAATCATTTATTTGTTCTTTTTTTGTTATTTTTATGCTTTTTATTTAAATTACTCCAATAAATTCATCGTTTATTTAATCTATCCTGCGCGCATCATCATCGATCGACAATAGCATCTCATTTAATAGTTTATTAATTTATTTTGTTTTCGTTAAATTGAATTTCATAATTTTAACATCCTACCTAGATAACTGGTCATTATATTACTTGTCAATAAATAATACATATAGGTACACATACTTCATCGTCATCATCTCTCTCTCTCTCCTTGTCTCTCTCTCTCTCTCTCTCTCTCTCTCTCTCTCTCTCTCTCTCTCTCTCTCTCTCTCTCTCTTTTTCTTTCCTCTTCTTTCTTTCTACTTCTTTCTTAAATACTTTTCTCTTGCACATCGCTATCATACGTATGAAGGTATCGATAAATATAAAAATTCTCTATTCAAGTATATATTAGAAAGAGAACGATGATGATGATGATAATGACCCTCTCTCATGAACATAATCGTAATATCAATAATATTAATAGTAATCGCAATAATAATACTAATAATAGTAGCACAATAATATTCGCAAAGATAACAAGCATAATATTCGTAAAAATAATCGGTATGGTAATAATCGTATTTATAACAATATCGATCATTCTGGTCTATCTTTTTCGATGTCCGTTACGCCTATTCTTTCTCTTTCTCCTATACGTTTTTTTTTCTATTACAAAATTCTCGCTCGTCTCTTTCGCCGATCGGCGAAGTAAAATCTTGGTCGCGCATATGTCTCCATAAAACGACATTGTTAGTCTCTCGCTTTCTTGACGACTGATTTTCGAATGAACGCGTCTCTGCGTCCGGTGAATGCGATAAAAAAATGACCATGAAACACAAACGAAAAATGAGTAATAAATAATCGGACGAATGAAAGATGAGCACGTAGGCGATAGATACATATATATATTGTATATGCGTGTGGGAAAGTAAATCTCGCGATCGAAACAGAAAATCGTGTGTAACTTACAGGCGGTAAAAAACTTACGCACTAATCTAGAAACCGGGCTCGAAGGCCACTCTATCGCTTCTCGTCTGCAGCGACAAGACAAATCGTTTTCATCGCCGTCTCCCTCGATATCACCGTACTTCAATATCTCGTCATTAACGATCGGTCTAATCGAGCACCATCGTTTTCGTGTAGGCACGAATGTGTCTCGTATAGAGGAGAGCTTTCTCCGACTTTCATTCGGCGAAATCCGTTTGTAATCATTAGGATCATGCTTCAATCAGATAACACAACGTACGAAAGACGTCCTAATCTTTTAGGCGTTCTCATTTTTTAAACATTACTTAGAATTTTCTCGATTCTCGTAATGAAATTATAGGATGTCTATTGACATGACTATTATTTTTACGATATTAATTTAATTTCGTCAAAGTATTTGCGTCTAAAGATCTCGCGAGAATGATGAGTAAAGGTGTCCTCTATATAAGTTACAGTTCGATATTGCGCTTATTAATCGCACACTTGTCTCTCTGTTCTACTTCTCTTTTATATCAAATTCTTTGTCTGGCCTATATATTCTCTTGTAATTTCGGATAATGATCAACTTCTACGTACACGGTCGGTACATCCTTAAATCGCAGCTACAGTCACTTTCGCAACGAGTCGAAACCGACGCGTTTTGATTTCGATTCGAATTTAATTAATTCAAGGTGATACATCGATTCGACATTGTCGCCATGTGACAATTGCGATCTAAGGATACAACACGCAGGGTCGACACTAGATGGATTTTTTAAGGTATAAGAATTATAAGAATCTTAAGAGTCAAGATATTTGATACGATCCGATTTTTCTTTCAATCTTTTAGAAAAGATGGGATATTCCTAGACAGCATAAGTGTCCAAAATTCATAAAACACATCCGAAAGAACTTAGTTTTTCCAAGAGTCTTTTACGCAGTACAGACATTTACTGTGTACATACACTTTGTGCTGTTTGAGTAAAACTTAATCGCCATCAACTGCCTCACAAAGACTCGCTGATAAACGCGTACTCCTGCATCAGGAAATCACGGCAAACAGCTTTCCACGCCGTGAGATGAAAATGAACGGAAGGCCTGTCATCGATTTACTAAAAATAATCATGTCCCATATAGAATCTCAAATAAGCGCGATGTTCGGCACATTCTTTCTCCGCGTTATCATGTTGTTGTTCATTGTAGTCGTCACCATCGTCTTGTCAGTTCGTTATGCATGTTTGGCTTAAAACCTCTTAATTAAGAAAATGTTAAGTACAAAAAATTTCATCGATCTTAATTATTCCCCCGAATGCATTCTCACTGATTTCAGAATCAAACCAGCGACAAACCGTAAAATTCATCTAGGAACAAATATTTATTTAAAGATCAACGATTGGCCTTCTTCAGACATTGTCGATACTTCAGAAAACAGCGATACTTCAAAGAACATCGGCTAAACGTTTCTCACGCAGCTGGGATTCAAGTACAGCAACAGACAGAACTTTGTTCGATCTGTCATTACGAGGACAATGACGCAATTTCTTACAGCAGAGATTTTAACCCGTTTCTTTGGATTGCCTCTCTTTCATGAATCTTTCTTTTGACGCTACGTTACGGTTTAAGCGTTCAGCAACTCTTCCTTCAAGCCATCGGTCAGTCGAGTTTTCTCTGCCTTTATCGTTCTTCTTTTGAAGAATTCTTTTGGACAGATTATTTTTCACTCGATAGATTCTCCTTTTTCTTAGGAGTTTACAAATGTCTTCAGGTATTTCCTCAACCGCTCTCGAGGAAACTTTTTTGTAACACCTGGCTATGAAATGGACAAGCTGCAAAATTATTTGTGCAACGCTATAGTTATTCGATCACAAGATACTTTTTATTATAGTTTCTAGCGTATCTGATACTTCTTTTAATTGGAATAGCGAGGCGATACGTAGCTAGGTAAAAATGATTTTGGATGCGGTCCACTTGGCACTACAAATGTTTTGAAGCATTTGATTAGCCAATTAGAAGAAAGAATTTCATTAACTGTCCAATCAAAAAATGTTTTAAAGCATTTGTAATATAAAATGGACCACAGCTTTTATTTCTTTCGTATAAATAATGTCATTGTCCACCATACAAATCTCGCACCAATATTATCAATATCTGCAAAATCCATATCAAATTAGAGATCGAGATTAACCTCTTGGAAAAAAGAAGTAATATCAAGTATAGCAAACTTTGCTTTAATTGGTCAAATTCAATCTCAATCTCTATCTTTAATCTGATACGGGCATAAAAGATTGTCAGTGCTACAATCGCTGTTTTCTAAAGTACCGTTCGTGTCACAACTTCAGAAAACAAAAGTCTCCAATCAAAGGCAATTTAAAGAAATGATCGAATTGTTCGTTCGTCGGATGGACTTTTTGGGACATGTCATTATTACCTGCACTCTCCTTACGACAACGAAATGTTCTACAGATCTCTTCCGGCATTATCCTCGTCGGACTCCTCGGCTAACTCGCACCGCGTCATCTGTGTATGGTCGACACAGCGAATCTATCAAGTAACCATCACTCCTCTCCGCGTATCTCTATTCTCTACGATATAGAAACACGACACACAGATAACTCCTACCCTAGTACTTCTCGATGGAATTTAGCTCCGTTTTACCTATGCACGAATAGACATTTACGACGAGAAAGGGGACCGTTAGTCACGTAACAACGAAGTTTAATAATGTTTTTGCGGGTGAAACGTGGATCGTTCTCCTCGTGTCTCATGTTCTTATGTATTCCATTAAAGGATAATACGCGATCCATCGACGACACGAACGATAAATCCCCCCGACAATTACACGTCCATCGAACGCGCGTTCTGTCTCATTCACATAGCCATGTTTAGCAGAATATTTATTTTACAACTGTTACAAATTTTCTTCGTTGAAAAGGACTATTTCTTTAAACATAAAAGTATAATCCAAGCTCGAAAAAAATTTTTAACAATTGCAAAAGAAATTCTGAAGAACGTGGCCAATAGGTCTGTTCTTTATCGATGAACTGGTGCACACTGGTGCAATAAGTCGATGTGAAACAAATATATATAATATGTTTCACTTCAACTTACTACATCATGTGCACCAATTCAGAAAGTTCTTTTGATAAAGAATAGGCCTAATGTATGCCTCCCCACGTAAGTTAAAATGCAGAACTTCTCTTTTTTTTTTCTTCTTTTTTTGTAATTGATACACTAAATACTACGCGGTGCTCTTGAAGCGGCAGCTGTGTCAAAGATATTAAAAGTTTTACTTTGATCTGCTGATCGAGGAGAGAATGCGAGCGAGGAGGTCTGGCATCGATTGTTCGATCCATGTTCAGTGGATCGAAAATAGAAATATCCAAAAATCAATTTATAATTTTCAATAACTAGCGCACAGATTGTCACAGAACCGCAGCGCTTACGGACCGTCATAGATTTACAATCGATCGTCGCTCATGCAACGTCACGATCACCGCCTTGTTTTAGCTTCAGCGCCAAATCTTCGCAAAAATGTCTTCGACTTGAGCAGTGATCGATAAGATATTGCAGGCGGTATAAGCGCACTACGGGCTGCGTACGGTGCAGAATGTAGAAATATAAACATCCGTTGAGGAGCGCCGTTGTTATCGGCACAACATGAATCTTAATCGAACGTAGATTTCTCCCTATTGATAATCGACTTCTTAGAAGTAAATAATTAATTTATACCTTGTATCCCCGTGCAAGAGAAGAAACCCTCGCGATCTCTCCCTTAATTTCTCTGTTTCTTTCTTCTCGCCGCCCGCATCGTCTCCTCGCGAAGGAATAAGGAGAACGTCCTAAATTAGATTAAACAATCCCAATTTGAGACCTCTGAACGCGATTCACACAAAATCGGCCTCACTTCCTCGGGACTGCCTCTACATTGTTCGACGGGATTTCTATGATTCTGCTAGGCCGCGGAGCTATGACCGCGAGGGAATCTCGAAAATTCGAAATGCTGTTCGTCTTCGGGTCTCCTAGAAGGGGGGCCAGGAATCACCTGACGGGACGGTAGGTCGGCCTGAGCGCTCGACTCTCTTTTTGTCTTCTTTTTTTCTAAACTTTTTCTCCTGTAAAAATGGCTCCGAAAACGCAGGATGATAACGCATTCCGGACGCCGCTCAGAACTCGACTATTACGGCTGAGCAGGCTGCCAATCCCTAGAACTCGAGCCTGTAGGCGCTGCAACTAGTCTCATGATCCTGGAGATTAATAGTACACCTGGACGCGGACGGTGATAAATCTATGTGGTTTGCCGCGAGCGCTTCCTCGTTATCAGCGACCCAGTAGCCCAAAGTATCGGTATCGTAGGTCGGAATCATGGTTACCTCTGAAAAAAAAGATATAAAAATAATCTTTAAAAATTGACAAAGGAGATCTAAGAATGAATTTTTAAAAAATAGTAAATAAAAACCAAATACAAATATCAAAATACAGTATTAACGCATTTATTATTGTTCAACTATATTATACAAAAAATGTAAAATCGTATCGCAAACAAGCATTGGTTTAGTCCTCTTCAGTGCAAAAATTAAAAGTAAATATTAAATTAAAAAGAGCTGAAGGTAAAGATAAGACATAGATTATATATATATATATATATATATATATGAGTACTGACAACTATAAATTTTCGCAAGTATAAATAAATAGTATTTTGTAGGTTTTTGAATACGAAAATATGAATGATATAAAACATTAAAATTTTATATCAGAATATGCTCAGAATATGTAGTATAATTAACATAGATATTATTCTTTATTCTCATTTTAATTAATATTCAAATATGAATATATTATTTATAATAAATCTTAATGGAATCTAATTAATATTGCCATGTCACTTTTGTTCTGATTAAAATAAGTTTTGACATAATGACAAAAAGAATATAATTAAATAGAAATATGTACAAATGTAACAATAATTTATCTTAAAAAAGTAAATCTATAATGTTTTCAACATAATCTTAATAAACTTACCGAGATCCTTGTCTTCCCAAGTCTTTTTAGCTTCCAATAGAGCGTCGTAGACTTCTCGACTGGGCTCGGTACCGCTAAAGACGTAATATCTCGCTCGCACTTTCTTGAAGAATTCTAAGGATGTGTAGTACGAATTTCCGTGATGGGGTACATACGCCAAATCCATGTAAACCGGTTGAACCTTATTCTTTGAATCTTTTACCTTCTTCTCATTCTTACCGGGACTTTCCGAACGTTTTTTGTTCTTAATGTTCTCTGATTGAATTTTCTTCGTTTGTTTCCGTTCCTTTTTCGGTGTACTAGGTGCTCCCTTGTTCGATACTTCATTGGTCACTGGTGCGGGGGAAGGCAGCCTAAGAGGTTCTCCCCAATCTTTTACAACATCAAAATTCAGAGTATTGGAAGCTGTTTCACTTGAGCACGATGGAGATTGAGCAGAGTTCTTTAAATTAAACTTTTTGGGCGGTTTAGGAGACGGCAGCCCAAGAGGGGTCCCCCATCCCTCCAAAGGATCTTTCTTCGAATCACCTTTTGAATCATCTTTATCATCCCGGTACGAAGACGATGGATGGTCTTTTTCGTCGGTTGCTTCATGTCGAAGACTACCGTTCGTGTACCTGGATGCTATTTCGCTGTTGAAGGTTCCTCCGGCCTCCTTCATCTCTTTATCCATCAGAGCTTTATCGAAATCAAGATCGGCCTCGTCAACGTATTTTTTCGCATCTGGTTTTTCACCATAATCGCCGGCAGGCTCTTTTTCCACTGTGAATCGACTGTGAATGGGATCGCTGCTCTTCTGCATACCAGTCTCACCGTGGAAGGTTTTCATAGCAGAAATTTGAGGTGGTACCGCTGGCAGCTCACCGTAGAAGCTACTGCTCATCGCGGCCGCCGAGAATTCCACCTGTTTCTGCTCCTCTTGCTTATCAGAAGATGACTCATAACGACGTATTGCTTGCGGTGAATAACCGACTTGCGAGGTTGAGGAAAAAGATGGACTGGGTGGTTCATCGTCAGAATAAGTATGTCGCTCCTCGCTGCTACCCCATGGGTGTGTCATGACTTTGCTACGTGTACTACTATGTTCACTCGGTGGACTTGCCGGACGATCCTTTTCACTGGTTACATCATCAGATCCGGAACTGCCACCACGATGCAACTCCGAGGACTTGATACTGCCAATAATACTGCTGATCGCGCTTTCCGCGGCATCTTTGCTTGGCAAACGTTCGTCTACCTTCACATCAGTCTTCTCTGCCAACACAACTGTCTCGCCCTTCTCATTTGTCGTTTCTGTGACCTCCTTGGTGGTCGTTACTATTTCACCTTCGTCAGATACTGTCTTCGTAGTCGTAACGATAGTTCGAATCATCTCTCCTGATCTAAATCCTTCCGGTGTACTCGTTGAGGATCGACCGTCGGATCTTCTATCAGGTGTCGATCTACCCGACGCATGAGGCTGAATTACAGCGCCGTCTCTGATCAACGGCGACATAGGAATCTCTGGCGTAGACTTGCCACTGAAGACGATGTCCTTGGGCAGCGATATATCTGGCGAAGACTTACCCGAATAACTCTTGTCATCAGATATAAGTTCTCGTATCAAAGGAGACACTGGATGCTCGAATTTGTCTGTGTCTAAGCGTTCTTTTATTGTAGATTCAAGTTTAGCTTCATGTTTGAATTCAGGTGTCGATTTACCGGAATCGGAATATAAAGCTTTTACATCGGGTGTTGTAGTGCCCGATGTCACAGTCGTAATCGTTTCTTTGATGATCTTTTCCGCAGGTTTGGTACTTTCCGTCAATTTTTCTAATAATTCCTCGCCAGCCAATGTGTCCGTACTCTCTTTGACGTCTGTCTTCGTGACAACTTTTCCGTCCGGTCCGGTAATCGTGGTCACGGTTGTCACGACTTGCTTTACATCAGCGCTGGCTGTGTCAGACACATCTTCATTACTCACAACCTTGTAAGTTGTACCTGAAGTAGGATCTGTATAAGTTTTCGAAGGATCAGTTTGCGCTAATTCAGCATCTGCTAATTCCTCTGTCACGATTGTTCGCGTTGTTCTTGTTGTAATGGTCTTCACATATTCATCAGAATCTTTTTTCAAGTCGTCAGTTTCTTCGTCAGGTATGACAATCTCGCGTCTGATCACTTTTGTGATAATTTCAGGTTCGTCTTGCTCGATAATTTCGCGTTTTACAACTGTAGTGACTACTTCTGGCTCGTCATATTCCATGATTTCTTTTTGGATGATCTTGGTAATCACTTCAGGTTTATCTTGTTGAATACTCGACTGTTTAATTTCTTTGATTGTTTCTTGTGGTTCGATTCCTTTCATGACTTCAGTTGTCTTCCTAGATTCCTCTTCTCCAATCACTTCGTGTTTGATTGTCGTCTTACTTATAATAGCACCGCCATCCGATTTAACCGGATGATCACCGAATGTAACTGTCGCCGAAATTCCCGCAGTTTCTTCAGGTTTATCTTTATCGATAGTTTCCGTGATCTTGCTTTCTCTCAATATCATAACGTTTTGAGTAGGTTGCACAGTCTTCGTGTCTTCCATATCCGTTCTCGTTATGTGAGTCGTGGTCAGAGTAGATTCCGATAACTTTTCAGGCACTTTACCAATTGGTTCGATTCTAGAAGTCGCATCATGTGTAAATTCCGGAGTCGATTTTCCAGACAACGTGGTTATATGTGTTGTACGCATCTCCGTCATACCACCAACAAAGGCCTTGTGAAATTGACTCTCATAATCCGGTGGATAATCGGATTTGTCCAACTGTTGCTCCGATGCCGGATAAATATCCCTGGCATCATGTGGCAGCTCGTAATCTGCGTCCGTTGTTCTCTCATAGTGATACATTGCCTTATCATAGTCATCTTCTGGTTCTTCCTCTTGATAAATTTCCACATCAATTACAGATTCTCTTGGAATCTTCCTCTTTAATATAATTTCCTCCACGATTTCTAAAATAATATACCTGGGTAAAGAAGTCATGATGATTATCTCTTCGAGTATCACTTCCGTGATTTTCTTTCCTTTCTTTATATATTCTTCCTCCAAAAGCTTTTCGATTTCCATTCGCTTCTCTTCCGATATAAGAATATCCTCATCTATATGCGGCTCTGATCGAGCTGGACTATCCTGAGTTGATTTATCGGAAGGAAAAGGTTCCGGACTTGAGCTGGGACTAGCAGAAAGTGCCGCTTTTGAATCCCTGCCATATTGATCGCTCACAGCAGGAGATATCTTGCCATCCAGACTTTCACCCTTCGTAGTGTCGCCTGATCTTTCATGACTATGAATGTCTTCTTGAGTAATCTTTCCGAAATCTACGCTAGCTGGCTGATCTCTTTTTTTAGAAATATCCAGATCTTTTTCTACCGGTTCTCCTAAGTTGCCTTCAATTACAGTGTTCCTAGGTATTTTTTCCTGGACAATGATCTCTTCAATAATTGCGATGAGAATACATCGCGGCACAGATTTAACAATAACCATTTCTTCCAAGGCTTCCGGCGTGATCTTCTTTTTCTTCATAATGAATTCCTCAATAATATATGCTTCTACCTTCGCTTTTTGTTGCTGCACTAGCGGTTCCGCTTCGGATTCTTTTCCATATTGAGGCTCGGAGAAGGCTTCGTCATCTACGAAATCAAATACTGCGCTTCTAGGCACATTTTGCTGGTTAATAATATCTTCTATTATCTCCATTACTATAAACTGGGGCACTGAATACATCATAACTAATCTTTCGATCACCGACAGACTGATCTTTCTTTTCCTCACGATAAACTCATCTAAGATATACTTTTCGATCTCCGCTTTCTTCTCGGCTGTCACTTTAACGATATCTTCTTCCTCATCATATAATTTCTCTATCTTGCTCGATTGTCCGACGTCCGGCTCTTTAAAATCAGCAAATCGTTTCTCGCGTATCTTCTGCATCTTTTTCTCGATTGTCTCGGGAGAAGTTGTAGGACTCTTACTATCTTTCTTACATTCATCCTTCTCATCAAGTGGTTTTTCCATATCGAAACGCTTTTCCTCTTGAGGAAGTAACTTTTCTGATAATTTGTCATCGAATAAACTGGCTGTTCTAGATCTACTGGCCGGTGTTTTCTCACCAGCATCGAAAACGCTTTGCGAACGTGATCTATCCTTCGGAGTTTTATCCACTGGTGAACTAGCTCGAGACGATTTAGTAGATTCATCTTTCGGGACCTTTCCGGTATCCGAACTCGGCGAAATTGATCGTTCCTTCTTTGCTTCTAGTATTTGCGAAACTTTAATATCATCAAGCCTCTCACTAGCAACACTGGATGATCTAGACTTATCCTTTTGATCGTCGGCTAAACTTGGTGACTTCGAGACATCGGATGGTGATTTTGGTTCCGTCTTATCACTGATAATGCTTAATGATCTTGTCTTATCGACAAAATCTGGATCGCCGATTATGCCGGATGTTTTCAATCCGTCAACATCCATTTTTTCTATTGGCTGTTTATTGTCTACCGGCTTATCAAAAACGATACTTGGAGATACCGGTCTGTCGTGCGATACAATATCGTCTGGCTTAACATCCGTTTTTTCGGAAACTGTTGAAGGTTTCTCTTCCATAGTTTTTTCGTGCGGTATTTTCACATCAAAGAGACTCGGAGATTTATTATCAGCACTTTCATAATGTTCTTTAACACTACCCTTGTCATCCGATGTCTTCTCATCGGACTTATCACTAGCAACACTGGGAGTTTTGCTTCGATCAACAGGTGGTTCTAATTTGTCAGAAACAGGCGATATTGATTTTCCAAATAATTCCGCTTTCTCACTCGCAACACTTGATGATCTGGATTTATCGGCTGGTAGTTCCATTACGTCTTTAAGATCCGGTTTTTCCTCTGTAATACTGGTCGTTTTCGAGCCATCGATAGATTTCTTCTCATCAGATTTTTCACTTGTTATGCTTGGAGATTTGCTCCTATCCGGCTCTTCCTTCTTATCCAGAATTGGTGATCTTGCTTTTTCCACTGATTCTTTCTGATCAGACGTAATACTCGTGACACTAGGCGACTTTGACTTATCCAGTGACGATTGTTCTGTAATATCTGTTAGATCAGTACTACTCGGCGATTTCGATCGATCTTCGAGGCCCTTAGGATCAGTCGTACTCATCCTGGTAGCTGATTTTGATTTTTCATCGGATCGTTCTGTGACATCCTTTAAATCCGATTTCTCTCCAGCAATACTCGGAAATTTAGAACGATCAAACGATTCCTTCTGTTCTCCTGTAATACTAGAAGATATCGATTTCTCTGCAGTGACATCCTTTAAATCTGGTTTTTCTCCAGTTACGCTTGGCGATTTCGACCTATCTATAGGTTCTGCAACGTCGTTTAAGTCTATTTTTTCCCCTGCAATGCTCGGAGACTTTGAGCGATCAATTGATTCTTTTTGCTCGCTCGTAACACTGATAACACTCGAAGATCTTGACTTTTCCATCGGTATTTCCGTAACATCTTTCATATTCGGTTTTTCATCGGCAATACTGGGTGATTTTGAACGACCTGGTTCTTTAGATTCGCTAATGCCGCTTGTTACACTCGATGATCGTGATTTGTCTAACGGAGGTTGCATTATATCTTTCAAATCCGATTTATCTTCTTCAAGTTTCGGAGATTTCAATGCGTCTTTTGGTACTTCGGATGATTTCGCTACTGGAAACTGCTCCAGTTTGTCATCTTTAGTACTTGTGGCACTAGACGATCGGGTTCTCTCGAAATCTACTTTGTCTACAGAAACGCTTGGTGATCTAGAACGGTCACTTACTTTCTTGCTATCTGATTTATCACTAGCTACACTGGGAGATCTATCTTTATCATGTGATTCTTCAGTCTTATCAATAGCTTTAGGCGAATCTGGCCTATCAAAAATAGGGGATTTTGGTTTCTCTAAATAACGTTCCGTCACATCTTGAAGGTCCGGTTTTTCTGCGTCTATGCTTGGTGACTTTGAACGTTCGGTCTCCTTCTTCTCATCAGATTTATCACTAATCGCGCTTGGAGATCTAGCTTCGTCAATTGGTCCCGTTTCATCATAATGTTCACTCTCGAAAATAGGCAACTTTTCACTTACTGTTTCTTTCTCCATAATACTAGACGATTTCAACTTATCAGTTTTTTTCTCATCAACTTTATCACTTAAAATACTAGGGGATTTATCGAGAGATTTAATATCTTGATCGGATTTTTCTAAAGATATTGGTAATTCTTCGTCTATAGCCGATTTAATTTCTTTAATAGATTCAGGCAATTTTTTGTCTTCTTTGACAGCAACGTCTTCTTCGGTAATAGGTGCCTTTGCAAAGTACATTTCAGGTTTATCTGTAGGTGATTTCGAGAAAATTGTCTCAGCTGGTGAAATGTCCTCTGAATGGAGCGATTCAGGTGTTTTTGGAACACCAATCGTTCCTTCTTTCTTAGATTCTGGAAGCACCTTCTCGATTGGAAGTTTTGGTTTTTCAGCTAATTCTATCAGAGATTTCTGCGTTGTTGTATCAAAAGGTGAAGAAGATCGTGATTTTTCGATTTTTTCAACTGGAGAACTAGGTTTCTCGATTTTTTCTTCAGCTGGAGATTTCACTTTTTCGATCTTTCCTGCATCTTCCTTAGTGGAAGATTTCGGTTCTACTCGTTCTTCTTTAGGCGACTTTGGTACATCTTTTTCGACAATTTTATCTGATACCTTTGACTTATGCAATTCTGATTTTTCCAAACTGTCTTCAAGATCCTGTGAATCACGAGGACCAGCAGGTGATTTTTCCAAGCTGTCTTCTGGAGTAATCTTATCCTTACCTTCTGGTGCAGATTTTTCAGAAATACTATCTTTCTCGGGAGTAGTTATGCCTGAGTGGGAGTCTTTGTCTAAAAGTAATGAATCTTTATCTGGTGTAGATTTAACAGATACATCTTTAAGGGAATCATCTGGTGTAACGGTCTTTGTAAAAGTTATACTGCCGCTTGGACAAATCTCAGTTTCTTCTCTGCCATCCTCGCTACATGCTGTAACAAGCATTCTTTTGACAGTGCCTTCGTCAAATGGTTTTGGTATACTTGCTGATAATGTTTCTTGAAGGTTCTTCTCTTCCTTAGTTACTAGAGCTTCTTTAATTTCTGTGGTCTCTAACGGTTTAAATCTTTTATCATCTTCAAGTAATGCTATTTTTGGCTCTTGTATGAAGCCTGTTGTTTTCTCATCAATTACCTTTGAGCTTGGTATAATTGATTTAGAAATATCTGCTATATCAATTGATGATCGCTTATCAGAAGAATCTTTAGGTGTTTCCTTGCTTGAGTCTTCGATTAAAGACTTGTCTGCTTTGGAAATTGATGGCGTCAATGTCGTGGCAATCTCTTTCTGAAGAATGTCATCCGTCTTTTCCTTAGCCTCGTCTAAATATTTTTCAACAGTATCGACAATTTCTGATGTTTCGAATATTTCTTGTTCTTCAGTTTTCCCTTTCCTATCAATTGGTTTAATATCCTTTGCAATCTGAGGCTCTTCTATTCCCATCTTTCCTTTAGTTTCTTGCACGAACTTCTCGTCTGCTTCGATCACTTCACTCATAGTATCTTCTACAGATTCTTCAATGTCTTCTTTTTCTTTCATCTCGCTCGCTTTCTCAGGAGACGTAATTGGTACATTGCGTACTTTATATTCCTGCTCGACAGCTTCAAAGTCGTCAATCACATCTTTCTCATGTTCTTTCGTAACTGAAGACGAAATCTCTGAAATCGCTTTCTTTTTTGTGTCAACCGTATCGGAAATTCTTCTGGGTATACTAACAAATCCATCCACTTCCTCCTCGATGTCCTCCTCTTCGGATGTGGCCGATAACTCCTCTTCAGCGCTCATTTCTTGCTCAAGCACATCCTCTTTCTTGTCTTTTCTTAACTCAATTGGACTTTTTTTCTCTTCGGTGCTGGGCATTTCTGCCACCGATTTCGTCTTCTCAGTCAATACTTGCAACTCTGAAATCGCTTCCTCCTTGATAATGCGCGATAATTCTTCGTCGGTAACACTAAGTATTGTATGTCTCGGTATCTTTCTTTTAATGATAATTTCTTCGATAATCTCAATAATGATTTTCTTAGGCACCTTCTTTTTACCACATATTTCTTCAAGTTTTTTAATATTAATGTTATCTCCCTTGGTAACATATTCATTCATAATATATTCTTCAACTTCCGCTCTTTTTTGCGAAGTTATCGATTTCTTTTCTGGAATCTCTGTCTCTGGAACGCTAGGTGTCTCAGCCACTAATTTTTCTTTCTCGTTCTCAGGTGTCGTTTTAGATAATAATTCTTCCTCATTAATCTCAAATATCGCATTTCTGGGAATTTTTCTTTTAATAATAATTTCCTCGATAATTTTGATAATGATTTGCTTGGGCACTGCCATTTGAATAGAAATTTCGTCAATTGTTGATGCGGTAATCTTTTTTTCCTTAATAACACACTCATTAAAAATAAATTCCTCAATATAATGCACGCATTTAGCGGTCAGTTCTTGTCCGATTGGAGCTTCAGCAGCGGATTCTTGTTTCGTAGTTATATTTATTTTCTGCTCCTCTGTTATCTGCTCTTCTGCCGATTCTTCTAGCGATTCTTCTGGCGATTTCTCTTGAATTATTTCTGTTAATACTTCTTCAGGAACGTTTAGTATCATATGCCTGACAAGTTTTCTTTTAACAATGATTTCTTCAATAATTTCGATGACTATCTTCTTGGGCACAACTTTTTTAATCGAGATTTCCTGAACGATTTCTATAGTAATTTGTTTTCCTTTGGCGATATATTCGTTAAAGATATATTCTTCAATTTCCATTCTCTTTTCAAGTGTAATAGATTCCTTCAGCCTCAGAATCTCGAGATCGTCTGTCACACTTTCTCTGGAAAGTCCCTTCTTTGTGATAATCTCTTTGATAATGTAAATCACGCGTTCTCTCGGGATGTGCTTCGTTACGGTGATATATTCGATTACTTCGATAGTGACTTTTTTCTTTTTCGTGATAATTAATTCCTCAATTATTTCTTCAACGGGCACTTCCCTGCTGAGAATTTGTTCGATATCCTCCGGCAACTCACGATAACCAATTTCCAATCCTTCGTCATACATCTTGTCAGTGACGAATTTCGGCGAAGTTGGCGTAGAACCGGGGGTTACCATCACTATTTCCGCCTTCGCCGGTGAAACCTTTTGCTCAAAGCCGATCACGGATTCCTCTATCTCGTCTCCCAGTTTCTCCTCAAAAGATGGCCGTTTCGCAACTTCCTTCACGCATACGCATTCGATACCAGCCTGCATCACATCTACCCGAGATGTATCATCGTCCGCCGGCTTTTTATGTTGATTGCAAATATGTTGATCGTCCTTTAACATCTCTTCACAAATTTTTTGCGCATCCCGTTTATCCTTCGTTACATCCTTCACAGGCGATGTTACTATATCGTCCTTTTCCTTTACCACTTTTACACAAAGTTCTTCCTTTACCTCGATAGCGCCAGATTTCTCATATGGAAGTTTGTCGGGTTTCCCAAATTTCCCAAGCTCTTCATGAAATACATCAGCTTTCTTTGGTATCACAATATCCTCGTGAGCAAGTTTGAGTTTCTCTTCTCCTAATTTAACAACCTCGTCTGGAGATATTTTTTCACTCGGTATAGAAGACTTTCTTTCCGCCAAAATTGGGGAAATTTCGTCTTTCGATGATTTTCTGTCCGTTGAAATAGGTGGAATCTCTTCTTTTTTAGGAACTTGCTCATATAATGCTTTTTCGGAAAGAAAATCGTCTTCTCTGAGAACCTCGGCGACTTTCTTCACAATTTCTATGACATCCTTAGGTTTATCTTCGAGCTCGATACCGGCAGTGCCAGCAAGAACTTCTCCGACATCTCTAACAGCTTCTTTCATGTCTCTATATGGACCCTTTATTTCTTCTTCATATTCCTCTTCGAATTCTTCATCTTTTGGTATAGCAAACTTGACCTTCTCTGGTTCTTTTATATCGGGCAAGTGGCTTTCGATATGTGGCTTTATTTCTTCCAATTTCTCAGCCACCCCTTCCAAAGTATCCTTTACTACATCTTTCAGGGTAGATGGCGTTTCGTGTATCTCAGCTATTTCTTCTTTAATTTTGTCTTCCAAAGATTCCAATGAATCTCGTAAACTATCTTTCACGGTTTTGAATTTTTTCGAAGCTTCCTCCAAAAGTGCCTTTACCTCTTCTACATCCTCTCCGATATCTTCTTCTTTCAAAAGTTCAATCTCTTTCGCAATTTCCTTGTCTTCAACTGGTTTTATTGACGAAACAGCACTTGATACGTCCTTTACAAGGAATGATTCCTCGATTTTAGCTTCTATTTTTTTAATTTCATCTGACTTATCAACAGGAAGTTTTTCTTCGATATCCGATACACTCTTCCTTTCTGTGTCCAGTAATTCTTGCTCTATAAACGCTGCGATATCTTTGATGGTAGCTATTTTCACGTCAACAATCGTGGGTTCCGCCTCTTCGAATGTCTCGGGTTTGTCAACGGGCTTACTAATTTTAGGGAACATCTTCTCCATATCAACCTCTTCCAAACGCGTTTTCTCTTGCACTTTTGGTTCTTTTGGAGAACTCGATTTTGAGGAAGATTTTTCGTCGGAATCCTTCTCAGAATCTTTCTTTTTCTTGGTCAATTTATCGATACCTTTTTCAAATTTATCCGCTACCTTGCCAAAGAAACTAAAAACACCTTTCTGCTCTTTTGTAGGCGGAGTAGGCGATTCTTTATCTTCTTGCGCAGTTGGCGATAACTTCTGCTCTTTTCCCTTCTCGAAATCTTCCATCCTGTAAAGCTTAGGATCGACTTCTTCATGAACCGGAAGATCGGCGACCTCGTCTGGTGTTTTAACAATGTCTCTTTGCAAATTCGGCATCGTCTGACGAACATCAAATACTTTGACTTCTGGCTTGGCAGCCACAGGAACAGTTTCAGGAATAACTTCCTTTTTCAGCTTTGCAGGAGCATCCTTCTCTTTTACTTCTTCTATAACATGTTTTTCGTCAATATCTTCTTTTATTTCGTCCAACGGTATTCGCTCGTCTTCTGGCAAAGTTGGAGCAGTTGTAGTGGCCCCCGATTCTATTGTTGAGATTCGCTCCTGAGATTCTTCCATCTTTTCGAGAACATTCTCTTTCTGATCGACATCCGGCTTCATGTCCGTATCGGTTGTTTTTTTCTCCGATGAATCTAATTTATCTGGACTTAAACTAGATGGCTCTTTCGTGATGTCCTCGCTGTCTTTTTTACCGGAGTCGTCTTTCTCTTCGGCTTTCTGTACAATTTCGGCTGCAGATGCTATTATCTCTTTTACTTCTTCCTGTAACTGTTCCTTATGTTCTGAAGATAACCCAGCGATGTCTTTCTCTCCTTTATCCAAAATCTTTTCTACTTTCTTTTCCGGGCTGTCATCTTTTCCCTTCTCTTCAGGTTCCTCTTTCTCGCCTTTTTCCTTCATCGCCTCCACGTCTTTTAATATTTTTGCCTTTTCCGACTGAGCTTCGTCAAGAACGTGCTTTTGTTCGCCTTCGCCACTCTGAGCAGAATCTTCGGTATAAACTTCTTCCTTCTCTACGATAAGATATTCATCCTCTTCAGTCAATTCCTGACTTTCTTTTCTAGAACCTTCTTTCTTAGGTACATCTTCAATCTCAGCGGTAACATCCTCTTCTGTGATATCCTCCTCCTTTTTATCAATTGCTTCAGCCGTGATTTCATCATCACCCTCAAAACGATCGTCCTTTCGAATCTCTTCGATTCTTTCCGCCTTCTGTAAAACAGCTTCAATTTCCTCAACTACCTCTCGCTCTTCCTTGAGATCTGCCAACACTTTACTTTCTATTGAATCTAGTGATATATCTTCAGATTGTTCAATTAAACTCTTATCAATCGGTTTTACCACTTCTGATTCTATGCCAGATGGAGTGGAGACCGTGGATGAATCGGTAGTGCCTTTGTCGCCCTTCACTTTACGAATAACACCGTCTTTGTCGGATTTTACAGAAGCGGTCGGAGTACTACGAGTAGATTTCGCCGGACTACCCGGCATACGAGCTTTATTGGGACTAACCGGTTTCGCACGACGACTGATCGGCTTTCTGTCCATTGGTTTAGGTTTTGCGGTTACCTTGACAACGGGCGCCGCAGAATCCTTCGAGGCGGACTTCTCGACCTCAGATTTCTTCTGTTCCACCACTTTCCTGTTGTTAGCTTCCTTAGCACTCTTGGCTGGAAGACTTGGAGCAACCTTGACCGCCGGTTTCACCTTCGGCACAGCTTTCGATATCTCTGTCTTTGTTGCAGCACCGTTTAGAGTCTTCTTCGGAGTAGTCGGGGAGGATTTCACGGCGTCTCTTTTCTCTGAACCGAAAGGTTTAGTTTTTTTCTCAATCAACTTCGGCTTCGGAGTTACTTCGCTTTTCTTCAATTCAACTTTCACTTTGCTCTCTTTTAGTTCTTTCTTTTTTGGTTCAGGCTTAGGCTTTAGTTCCTTAGGTTCCTTAGATTCTTTGATTTTCTCAGGCTCTGATTTGATTAAATAAATTTTTTTTATATCATCTTCTCGTTTTTCAGATTTCTCCATTTTAATTGGTTCTTTCTTGGGCTCCTTTTTCACTTCTTTCAGTTCTTTTTCAATTTTCTTACTTTCTTTTGCCTCAATCTCGATTTTCTTATTTTCCATAACTTTCTTTGTCTTCATTTCGGTCTTAGGTTTACTAGTAGGTATAATAGGTGTCGATTGTGTGATACCCTTAGGTACAGTCTCGTCTGCGGCCTTGATGGATTTGGGCTCCGACGGTTCTCTCTTCTCTTTCTTTGGCTCAAAAATTTTCTTGGGCTCCTTCTCGATAAGACTAAGTTTTTGCTTGGTTGGCTTATCTCTGAGCGTTGCTAGAGATACTGATGGTGATAGAGTCTTCGCTGAACATACTGGGTGCTTCAGAAACTCCAGATGTTTTAATCGTTCGAAACCTTCAAAGATCTTATGTTGCGGCGTACTGCCGGGAAAAAGAATCCGCGTGATATGATCCTCGGGATTGGCCGGTTGCCAAACTAGAAGCGCACATATCGACACGAGATTCTGGATCGGGAATGTGAGATTGTTCGAATCTTTCTTGTGAGAACCTGCAAACAGCTTCGAATCTGACGTATGCCACTTCGCCAGGAACTCGCGCACTTCGCGAGTGTCCTTGCTCGGGCTGAGCACGTACATATCCAATGTGCCATGGCCCACCTTGTGATAGAGATTGATTGGATCAGGATCTCTGTAGCAAGGATGAGCGCGAAGATTAATATGTCGAAGATTCACCACCATTTCTTGACCAATGTCAGTGAGGTTGAAAATGAGCGGATCGATGTCCTTATCGCCATCGGGTGAATTTGATTGTCTTCTTTCCTACATTATATGTATTTATGATAAGAAAATATATTGAATGTTAACGATTATTACGAAGAATTTTAATTATAATTATTATAAAATACACTTAATTTAAAAAATTAATGGATTGAAAACAATGAATACTTACGACTAAGTTACAGAAGAAATGGCCGATCTGAGGATAGACTTGCATCTCTTTCTTCTTGCGAAGAACGCTAAACATGCCGCCGATGTTACTATTATTTATCCTAGTGACTAGAACAGCATCCAATCGGTCTAGATGCCTGGTGAAATCCCAGAAGCATGCTTTCCTAGCAAAGCCGCCGTCGACGAGCATATTGAAGCCATTTATACCGAAAAGAGCGGCATCACCTTGCCCACCGGGGAAGACGTATAAGGTAGGATGACTAAATCTAATGTTTCCAACGACGTCGGACGGTTCCATAAGCTGGTCCAGTGTTTGCGACACGAGGTACTGTCCAATGTAATTCGTAAAACTCATGATAGCCGGTACGCCGGCTGTGAGAACATCATCGGGATTCACTCTGACTCTGCATGATCTGTTAATGAAAAGAACACAAAATATGTAAGAAATAAATATATCATTTATATTTTTAATTTTTAATTATTATTTTTCATGTAATATCATATTTTCATTATATATGAAACAGTTTCTATTACGTGATACAGATCAGAATTGATCATGTAGAAAAATATACAAGATATGCACCTGCAACAAGCTTCTTTCGACAATCGATTTGTCGTCCAATCGCCGACACCTGCACAATGTATATCTACGGTAACGCTATTTTCATAGGCACGAAGAACTCTTTGCACCTCATGTTCGCTGAACGCATCCAGAAAGTCTGCGAGACTGAAGGTTCCATCCTGAATAACAGAAATTGTTTGTCAATTTGTAATTCAAAACTATTCTCCGTCAATATTTCGCACAATTACGTTTTGTTTTTGGCAAATAACAATTGAATATATTCGTACTAAGTAAATACCTGCAGTATCCAGGAACCATTACCACCGAATGTATATCCAGCGTGTATGATGTGCCGATGTTTCGTGAAGCTTGCTAGGAGATTACGAATACACTGTAATAATGTATTCGTCTGTGGATGAATGAGAACTTCCGTTACGAGGTTCTCGGTGGCATATTGGATCAATCTTTCGCCTGAAAATTTTATTTTTATTAATAATTTATATGACAATAATAATTAATAACTTCTATACAATACAATAATTAATTATGTATAATATAACATACAACGAATCAAATTAACATATTTATAACAATAAATTACCATTTCTGGCTTCTTCGCCTTCGGGGGCTTGCGCTACTAAGGCCAATAATTCCTTCTCCAGATCTACGTGACAACTGTCCTTGTCCCATGATAGAAAACCTACAACAATCGAAGAGTAAAACGACGATTGCTAAGTATAGCTGAACTTTTAAACGGGATCTTCTTCATACATGTTAAGCAGATACTGATATCGGAAAACTTATAGAATGGAATCTGCATATAAATCACTGCTCATCTTCAAGATTGAGTGTAACTTTAGGTATTCCGGTGACATGCTCTCTCATGAACTTGGCCAAGCTTTTCTGAGCCTGGCTCTGATATTTTGAATGGAAACTAGGTTGTTCTCGTTTTAGATCATCACTGTATATGCGCGGCTACGTTGAACTAGCAAAGTCAGCTCACCAAAATTAACTGTAAGCGAATATCTATGTATCTCGAAAATATATAAATAACAGAGAAAGTATCTCTGAGGATTATGAATGTTATTCAACTTTATAATTCTTCTAAAGAAGCCTTTTTAAACATTGAAAGAAAAAGAAAGATTAAGAGAGATATTTTAAATATTGCTTAAAGTCTTTTTAAACATCGTCCAAGTATGAGATTTATAGGTGAATGGAACAGTAGGTTATAACTGCATAAAAAAACGTATAAGACTGCAGTGGTTTGGCTTCATAGAATAGGGGTAGTTCAGCCACCGAGTGATGTAAGGTTAAGGTTAAAATATTAGAGACTATATCAAGACCAGTTAGAGATTGATTGATGAGAAAAGTAAATGAAAAAAGAGTATTACATTACAACAGCACAATTAATGCAACAAACATATTTGTTTGATGTAGATTGAAACGGATATGAAAAATAATACATCTTCATTTATATTTACATTAGCGCTGATTTACAATTACAATTGTGATAAAATGATTTCACACAACGTTTAAAATTAAAAAAGGCAGCTCAAAAACAAAAATTCATATTAAAAGATATCTTATAATTAATATCTGGTAAAAATTTGTATAGGTAATTATCTGTTTATAATGTATTGTTATTATTATATTGTCCATTATTAATAAATTAAGATACTTGCAATTGTTTAAAATGATTAGAATAATATTTTTACTATACGAACATAAAGGATTAATTACGAATTACACGCAGTTAATGTAAGAAAAGAAAAGAGAAAGTGCATCTCAAAACTTAATTGAATAATTAGGATGAATGAATCAGCAGTCGCAATTTGTCATAAGGGTTGCTTGGGGCGGTCGTTTCATGACGTCACCAACACCGCACCCCGTCACGTGGTTCCTTACCAGCTGGCAATCGATCGTCGCACATCCTGTACCCACCCTCTATTGCCAACTTTAACGCAGAGATACTCTATACTTTTGTTACAAAAAATTTCCGGCGCTGTCATTTCGTTTAGATAAATTTTAAAATAATTATAATGAAAACAATAAGAAAAAAATTTTTTAAACCAGGAATAAAAAAGCTATTCTTAATATGACTAATATGACAAAAATTATGCATTATTATTGTGCTTTATAAATATATATAAATGTGTCAAATATATTTATAAAATTATAAAAGAAGATATTAATAGCAACATCTTATATCTCTAAAATCAATTCTCTACAATTTCTTTAAATCGATTTTATCGCTCAATATTTCACGATTCAATCCAAGTGCAAGGCTTTTCTTAGACCTCCTTTCACATGCGGAAGTGTTGAAAAAATTCCACCTGGAATCTTGTATGGAATTAAAGGATTGATGATACAGCATAATGGAACGTAACTCGTTGCCAAGGGAGTTCGAACTAGCTCTCGCGTAATTCTATACTGGCGTGTACACAGACAAGTCGGGTTCGAAACGTTGCCTGGCAACGTCGTAGTATCAATCAATGCCGAGGATAGAGAGGAGCCGGGGAAAATTAACGAAAAAGAAGAAAAAAGGAGAAGAAACGAGCAGAAGTGAGCAGAAAGCGTTAGTCGGTGCAACGAATTCCGCGTGGCTTCCTCCCTGCCTCCAATTTTATCCCACAATAAGTAAATACGTGTTGCATACTTTCCAGTAAACGTGGACGCTATTATTAGCAACTCAACTGACGAAATATATATCGCATTTTCCTGAAATTACAATCGAAATAGTGAATACGCGGAATATGAATTACACACACACACACACACACACACACACATATTGCTAAACAACTAAACTCATTAATTGATTAATCAATTACATTCCAAAGCTTTCTGTGTAATTTTGGCTGTATTACAATTTTTGAACAGTAAAATCTTCAGACACGATTAAGTAAATTAATATTAACAGAAAATATGGTATATGCAATAAATTGAAAGAATCGCGTGTCTATTACATCAAGTCTTATCTGACAGCGAAAAGTCACATTGTTAGAGTAGGACACACACATCGAGCATGCTCGTGTGTCAAACTGATCGGAAGCCCCAAAGCTGATACGAGAGAAGCCGTTTCTGCTCACAGCTGAGTGCCGTTACTTAATTCTCACTGACCCCTACAGGTTTTGACTGCAATATCAATATCAGAAGCATCACGACCACAACCGAGTTCAAAAATTTGCATATAGAATCCAAAAAAATTGTGCCCACAATTAATGACAATTCTAATAATAACAATAATGTAATAAAGAAATATATGGTACTTCCGTTTATCCATGGTATAACACAATCGGTTACAAATATGTTTAACAAATCACTTTATAACATAGGTTATAGAGATGCTTGAATAAATTAGATATGTTTATTAAAACACTCAAAAATAAAAAAGAAATAGTTAATAGTAATAATGTTGTATACAAGATCCCGTGTATCAATTGTGATGTAACCTATGTGGGACAAACTAAAAGGAAATATGAACACAAGAATAAACGAGCATAAGAATAATAAAAAACTTGATCCGTCTAGACATTCGGTACTAACCAACCATATATTACAATGCAATCATGATTTTGATTGGAATAATACAAAAATTATGGATTCTGAACCTAATTACAATAAGAAACTAATATCAGAGACTTTACATATAAAAGAACAATTAAATGGCATAAATTTAAAGAAGGATACCGAATCTCTTGACGATGTATATGTACATTTGCTGAAACGTATTTCCGACAATAAACAATAATAATAAATATATACCAACCACTTTGACATTCTAAGTTCAGAATCGTTGTACATTGCTTTTCACACAGTAAGACGTATGAGTTACAATCTTTAGCGAATAATTATCTTCTTTTATAATGTAAGTGTTCATTATTTGGTTTGTTTTTACATTTGTTTCATTATCAATTTCTTGACTTATGCAGTTTCATCCTACATATACAAATTTGACGGCATGAAATCCATATATTGGCTCCATGTATTTTAATTTTGACTAATGGACTGGAAATCTCATTTGGATTAATCTTTCTCGCCTAAAAACGAAGAATGGATTATAACAGGTTTTTTCATCGTTCAAGTAAATTGACTACTACCATCAAACATTGGAGCGATTATAACGTCTCACAAAATTTGCGACTGTTAGGATGTAATTTATATATTAGAGAATTTGCAATTGTTATAATTTTTTATTTGTTTTTGCGTCTTTGATATGTAAGCGTATTAATTAGATTGGGATTTTCATGCGGCTGAGGATGACTTTGTAAAGTCGAAACGTTCGGAGTTAATTTTATTGATTGTAATAAATTTATTGAATAGTAATAACAAATATAGCTCATTATTTTTTTGATCTGGGAAGTATATTTATTTTTTATAATTTTTAATTTTATATGAGCTGAGAATATTTATAAAAAAAATTTTTGCATATAGAACAAATCTTGAGAAACGTTTGGTCAGACTCGATTTTTTCAAGACATATAAAACATATCGATCAAGATTTAAAAGCAATTTTTTTAATACAGATTTTAATGCTGCAAGAGCACACAAAAATAATCTGTGTATTTATTAGGAAAAATAAATTTATAAAAATTGCGATTTTAACTCACAATCGATGATTCGTATAAAACGCAACTTTGTGAATTCTTATTAGTCCATGTCGACGGATTAATGGATTAAAACTTAAATTACATCTTCGTCTGAAACGTGCTCCATGTTTCATTTACATTTGTAGCTCTCGCTTGTTTGGATAAATAATATTCTTGCGAGAAGCGAAGCAAGTGAGTCTTTTTCTTTCTATTTATTTATCAGAATGACTTCTAATTGGTATCAACGTGCTTTGTGACATATTATCGCATTATCGTATTGGCTACTAATTTACTATTTTAATAATGACTGATTTCAATAATAACTGAATTTAATGAACTCGATTGTTCGAAATGGATAGTGTTAATCTATCAATGACTACCATGTCTAGTTTGGTAATCATTTAATCAGTTAATAGGTCATCAAAATACCGTTAATTAAACCGCATCAGAATATTAGCAATGCAAATCAATTGGTCGATAATTCTTCAAGTATTAATTACTAATTAGTAAAGGAGAAAATATCAAACAAATTCTTGAGCATTCCAGGCTTTAGATATTCTTTCCCAATTTTCGAAACTTGTTTTCCAATCTCACATTAAATACTCACAGAGCGTTTGCTTTTGTAAATTACTAATTTATTTTACAAACGGCAACACACCGAAGATGAATACAGTTTGCAATTGCAGTTAAAGGCAGCCTGCGGCCGTTAATTGAAACAGATGTTTTAATTAAATTGCCCACGAGCTTTATCCGCGAATTTCCGTTCGACAGAATGAATCATTGCGCCAATCAAAGAAACCGTGCGGAATTCGAAACTCGTAGTAAAGTAAATCGTGCTTAAAAAAAAAAAAAAAACATTCAACTGCGAGTTTCGATAAATAAGGCGGAAAAACGTTGCGACATTAAAGTGTGGCTCGAATGATTCTACTGTCGAGTGGACGAAAAATGGCGCTGGATAATCCGTCAACGATTTATCTCACGAATACTAAAGAGCGCTTTCGTTCTACCGAAAATCCCCGGCTTTAATCGCGAGTACGATATTTCGTCATCGTATTCCACGAGTACGCGAATACGTGTGAGTGCACATACACGCGGCACACATTTTCGCGGT